ATAAAAAGTATTCCTAAAAGTTTGTTTGTTTGTTTTGAATTTCGCGCAAAGCTAAACGAGGGCTAGCTGAGCGAACCGTCCCTAGTTTAGCAGTGCAAGACTAGAGGGAAGGCAGCTAGTCATCACCACCCACCGCCAACTCTTGGGCTACTATTTTACCAACGAATAGTAGGATTGACCGTCACATTACAACGCCCCCACGGCTGAAAGGGCGAGCATGTTTGGTGGGACGGGGATTCGAACCCGCGACCCTCAGATTGCCATACCGGGCCTATTCCGAAAAGAGAAGGGAAAGAATTCAAATTTTTGATAATTTACTTGAATTCTAGCGCGTGCGTGTTCTTAATTTTATCTTTTAAGTCTTAAATGTTTGAGTAAGGTGTTTAGCAAATGTTTGATTTTCGACCTTATAGTGGATCGGTTCAGTTCGGAACATTTACACAAAATAAGTAAGAAATGAATTACTATAATATCTTCTGACGTACTAGCAGTCAGCGTGTGGTAGAAACACAGAATTATTAGCCCAAATTGTTATGAGTGGTTATCGCGACCTAATCACCTCGGGTAGTCGAACCCCGAACTTTAGCGTTGTAAGTCTGCAAATTTACCGCGAAATTCCAAAACAAACAAAAAATTATATTCATTAAAATTAAAACATAATTTTCGGCCGCCGCACGTCTATTAAAGTCTTATGAAACAAATAAAATTTGCGGGAATAAACAAAACTCTTATCACATAAAAATAATGCTGCTTTGTTGTTTGTTATTAAGCACAAAGCTATTCAATGGGCTATCTGTGCTCTGCCAACCACGGGTATCGAAACCCGCTTTCTAGCAATGCTGATTTAGTAGAAATAAATGTCCAGTTCAGAGATTCCAAGATTCAGACCTTGTCACTATTGAATTTGAACTGTTGACCGGATGAAAAGAAGACAACTAGTCAACAGTAACCGCAGCCTACGCGGATACTCTTAACGGAATAGCGAGATTGAGCGTCGTTTTTAAAAGCCCCACAGCGGAACGTTTGCAGCGACATATCGTGGCTCGAACCTTGGAGCTTGCGATGCTCATTCCGGTACGAAAACCATTAGGTAACCTTCGACCCTAAAAAAAATAAAAAATTTGCCTTGGTTCTTTACTAGGCTTTAAATACACTTTTGATTAAGCGCCATTATGTTCCCAAATAGAAAGTAGTATTTTGGAAACAAACACAATTAAAACCTCGTGTAGCTTTGCACTAGTTGCCTTCCCTCTAGTCTTACACTGCTAAATTAGGGACTGGCTAGCGCAGATAGCCATCACCACCCACCGCCAACTCTTGGGCTACTCTTTTACCAACGAATAGTGGGATTGACCGTCACATTATAACGCCCCCACGGCTGAAAGGGCGAGCATGTTTGGTGGGATGCGGATATAATAAACGGAAGAGGAGATAAAAAGTCCATAAAATAAAATATATTTTGTTATTTTAACTAGAAATGGAACAACAATGAATATATGAGATAGGAGAGGGTATTGCTAACAGATTCTAAATATTACGAATTTTTTCGTAATAAATTAGATAATAGACAATAATATAATTATGTCGAATCTTATAATTTTTGCATATCTATTGAATACACGACACGACACGTACCGTTATTATTTTAGTTCCCCCCCCCCAGTGGCACAGCGGTATGTCTGCGGACTTACAACGCTAGAATCCGGGTTTCGATACCCGTGGTGGGCAGAGTACAGATAGTCCATTGTGTAGCTTTGTGCTTAATTACAAACAAACAAACAATTTTAGTTTCCTCCAGAGAAGCTCCAATTCGGAGTTCGATCGCTGTGGTTGATCCAGCTTAGTGATTAACAACAAAATAACTTAGATAACTAAGTATGTACGAAAGAGCTTCAATTTAAAGTACTTAGAATGCCCTACTAAGAACTCCAAAAATCTAACATCTTGTGACGCAGTGGTGTAGTGCTAAAGTTTATGGTGCTGGAGCCCTGCCAAAATTTGTGACGTCATCAACAGGGTAAAGCTTTCATATTCGAAACCTAATTTCCATTTTTATGAGTCTATTTGAAATAAAGAAAATACATGCATCATTAATTATCTGAGGCTACTTACATTAGTAATATTTTGAATAACGCGTATTTTACCGAGAGAAAACACGCAACTCAACTTCCTTTCGATTAAGCAGCCAAGAAAACACAACAAATGGGTACCATATATATTTACACACACACAATGCTTATAGTTTCCAACTTCAGTTTCAGTAGGAATAGTCTGCAAACGCTATTAAAAACTTTGCACAAACTTTGCACAACTCCTATCCTACCAACACGAATAATTAAAAAACAAAAAAAAAACAACAGTAAACATTTTAAGACGAGTAGATTTTAAACACACAGTATGGTTGGAAAGCGTATTTTATTTATTAAGTGTTTTAATACCACG